GTTGAACAAAAAAAAAAAGATGTAATATATAAGATATTTTTTTGCGATGCTCACATTTTAGAGGCAATAATAAAGAAAAACAATTTAAAAATGGTGATAATTAATTGATAATTTGTAGATAACCGGTGAGACCATCGGAGAAGTGAAAGCAGTGGCTGATATGCATCAAAGGAAAGCTGAAATGGCTCGTCAAGCCGATGCCTTTATTGCCCTTCCTGGTTCGTAATCCAATTTATTAGATTTTAAACTCAATTCCATTTAGAAAAACATTGTAGAAAATCTAAAATATATCGAATAATTTTTTTTGGTAAATTGTTAGGTGGGTATGGTACGTTGGAAGAATTGCTGGAAGTCATTACATGGGCTCAACTCGGAATCCACCGTAAGCCGGTACGTAATCAAGGAACTTAGCTTTTGTTTTTGGGATTATATAACTAAAATTTAAAATATATATAATGATAGATAGAAGCATGCATTATTGTTATGAGTTACGACCGGAATATGCGTGTTGGATATTTTTTCTCTTATTTAAAACTTTCAGTGTTTTTATTTATTTATGATGTGTGGTATAATTTGACTGAATGAAGAAGATACAAATGGTTGCATATGGTACGTTGTTATAATCACATGGAACAAGATTCCTTTTAGGATTCTTTATTCCTCGTTAACTTTTTCTGTACTATTCCAATTTATAATCTTAATCTAATTGTGTACACATTCTAAGAGCATGTAACGTTATATAAGTATATGATAATATTTGCATGATATAAAAAACGATGTGTTGTCACGACGTACGACTACATAACCCTGATTGTGAGACCGGAAGCTTCCCTTGTCGTAATCTTTTATATTACTAATTAAGATATTTGGTTTCTAACATTATTTTTGGTCAATAATGTTTGACAGGTGGGTCTTCTTAACGTGGATGGTTACTACAACTCGCTATTAACATTTATCGATAAGGCCGTAGACGAAGGATTCATATCCCCAATGGCTCGTAGAATCATTGTCTCTGCACCAAACGCTAAAGAGTTGGTTCGACAACTCGAGGTATACATTTATATGTAACGATCATGAACCAAAACCTAGACAAACTCTGAAAAACCATATATTCCGGCCATTTAAGGCATCACTGCATCACTGCATAAGGATTATTGATTGAACTTGAAAATGTTGTTGTAGGAATATGAACCGGAATTCGATGAGATCACGTCGAAATTGGTTTGGGATGAAGTGGACCGGCTTAGTTATGTACCGGGTTCGGAGGTTGCTACGTAAGGATTTAAGGATCAAATATATTTTGGGGGTGTTTTTTTGGGGTAAAAGCAGTGTACAGCGGCATTGAAGTTTTTAGCATCAGAAGAAAAGGTCGGAAAGAAGACAAAAAAAGTATAGGGTCATTTTGATAACAATTATTTTGTATGGGGTTTAAATGTGAAAAAGTGGGTAAACCACGTGGGTAATTACTAACCGCGTATATACCAAACCCTACCAATCCCCCACTTGTCTTTGTACATTTTGGTTAATGGTTAAGAAAAACCAGAAAGGGTAGGGCTATTTAAAGAAATGACAAAACGATCCTTATCTTTTGGATATTTCGTAATTTTATAACCATCTTCTAATTTTTCCGGTGGTCCAAGTAACTTCAAAAAAATTTCAGTTATTTATTTCATAAAAAAATAACAATTTCGATTGATTGCTCTATCCGGATCAGTATTAGAGAATATTCAGATTGCCGGCTAAAAATGGAGATTAGCTTTTGTTAAGCACTTAGACTAACACAAAATAATAAGAAAATGAGATAAATCCAGAGACCTCGTCTCACATGTGTTCTAATGAATTATCAAGTATTTAATTTAAATTTTTATTCAGTATTTAATTTTTATGGTCCAATACTCTGCCTCTTGCATTATTTTAAACTATTTACACAAGTGAAAACAAAATTAAACAGAGGGAAACATAGAAATTCCTCTATTTTGTATTCAATTTCAGGAAATCATATATAGTATAAAAAAAAGAAATGAGGATGGAGTAAAAACAAAAGATTTTCAAACAAATATTCTCTGGCAAAAATAACAAACTCAGCTCCAACACAAGAAAATGCTTCTGCTTTCCACCAAACATTTGTTCTACATGTATTTAACCTCTAAATAGCTGAAAAAAAATACTCTTAATAGCTGGGTTTTCTTGAACATACAGTAATGCTTACAAAACAAATTTGCAAAGAAAAACACAGTATTATGCATATAATGTGGGTTCAGATTGATCTAGGGTTTATATGAAAAATACATTTCAAATTAAGCCATTTTACATTACAGCTAAGCCATTTTAAATTTCAAATTATGTACCTCAAATACATTTCTTTACTAAGACTACAAGGTTTTTCCTGCTTCAAGGGGAGCATATAAATATATGACTTACCACACTGTCGACTTGAGACCCATAATACTTGTGTGTTTAGCTTCTCAAACTCTTCATAAAAGTCACTGAAGACAGTGATATTTAGAATAAGCCAAGGAAACTGGAAGACCAGAGATTAGAATCCAGTGAATCGAGGTGAGAGTTCCAGTTTGATCTACTTCCTAAGCAAAATACTAATCTGTGGAGCAGAGAAATTAAAAGTGAATACTAATGTGTAGAAAAAGAGAATCACATATTTTGAGAGAGCTTCACTTGAAACCATACTACGTCATTACCCTTAGCTTATGAGTTATGACACTATAACTAACTACAATTAAAGCATTAGTTATGGTCTAACAATTTAAAAGAAGGTTATATGGACGAGGTTCCAACAAGAAGCATTCATTACGATATTCTAAGTTTGTAAGATAAAATAAAAATACACATCGATCATAATAAAGTCATTTTTTGCCACACATATATCAAATATGCTCCAAGTGGTCTTATTGTTATCGGAATTTCACTAAGCAGGATTCAAAAAGACTTCATGTTTCAACAAAATGTGAACCGACTCTACAAAATCAGAAAATTTGATATAATTTTCTCATCTTTGATTGAACTCGCAATCACGGTGGATAAAAATGTCTATCAATTTAAGACCACCGAAATAACTAGGAAGAAGAGAAGTTCGATGAACTTAAAATGTATATGCATACATATGTTTTTGTCAATTGGTTGACTAAGTTATATTGCAATTTGATCAAACTTTAATAATCGAATAAAAACATTTTAAAATTTACATTGCTTGTATATATTACTAACATTAAGGCCCGTGCGCACGACCATATGTAAAATATAATTTTATAGTGGGATGATATATTTTGTGTTAAAAAATAAAATAAACGTAATAGGGTATAACAATAGAATTATTATTCTCTTAAATATCTTATCTTTTTGTATTTTAAATCGTATAATTTTTTTCTTCTAATGTTCTCTTACTATTTCATGAAAAATTTAAAAAATACATTTAGATTTTCCTTTATTACACCTGTGTTGATATAATTTTTTTAGCTTTGTGTAC